AGAGAAGGAAACAAATGAAAAAAAAAAAAAAGCGACATTTGAATTTTGATGGCTGATGATAATTTAGCTGCTGCTGTGGCTGACTTCATTCCAGTCCTGATTCACTTAAATCATATTCAATTTGCCTAATTATCTGCAATGTAGTCGTCATATAGCTGACATGACATCGTATAATAATCCTTCACAGAATCCCCAGACTCTCCTTCCAATCATTTCCACTGCACCCCCATCGTTGAAAGGAAAAAAAAAGGAGGAGAAGAAGAAGAAGAATTTAAACCTAAAATAGAATTTAATGGCTTGATCTTGAATTTTTGCTACTTGCGTACAGTTGACTCTGCAAAGAAAAAGAGCAAAGGCGTCGACTTTGAAGCTTTGAGTCAACGTGGATATAAAGGAGGACTATCAGTCTTGAGCATCCCACCACCTAAAGAACCTGATCAGAAACAGGACTGGTCTTGGTCATCGGGAAAGGGAACTCGGGCAAAGGAGGTAGAAGAAACTTACGAAGATCGACTGAGAACAAGAGATGCATTGGCTGATGGAGAGCTGCTCAAAAACGTGCTAACACAGAAAGATAAAAAGAATCTTTCATTTCAACAGAAGGAGAGGAGGAAGAGAGATCTTGGTCAGACTAGTCGGGGGAAGAACTACGTGGAAGAGGAGAAGAGGTTGCTAAGAGACAGTGGCATTTACTGCGGGTTTGATTCTTAATCTGCCTTGCCTCCAGTACGACATTCTAGCACTAAAGTTCAATTTTAATATATGTTTGTGAATCCAGTTTGCAGTATTGGTAGCTTGTAGTTTATATCAGTGTGCTTCGGTGAATCACACTTGCAGTATTGATAGCTTGCAGTTTGTATCAGTGTGATTAGTGAAATCAAACATTTTTGATAAATTGGTGGGGCTGTACATACAATTTAACAAAGAAACTGTGCAACACTAGTTATTGAAGATGTTTCTTCACGATAACTGTGATTGATATTTCTCAGCTTGTATTTAAAAATTTACAGCTTTGAGTTGGTGTGGATTTTCATGTGATTAGATGTTCCAATTGTGTATTCCTATTAACCTTATACATTAGGAAAGAGATATTTTAGTCTAACTTAGAAACAGCAGCATATGTTGCTGCCCCTGATAAAGTTGCGCCTCTACATCGTGACTGACATACCCTAAACTTTCTGGCCAAGTTGGTCTTCAATTGGAAAACCAAACCCTGGTCAATATTCTACCTTCAGTCTCTGGTGGAGTTCAATCCTTAACGTCATCCAAGATATCAGATCCCTTGTCAATCCAAAATTCGCATCTCAAACGTGGTGCAGAACTTCTAGTCAGGGAAGAGTTTGGTTCCCAAGTTTATTTTGAAATCCTTTTGTGTAGATGGACAAATAATGGACATGTGTTGGGTTGCTGGTTTGATCCCTCACGTCCAGCCTTATCCACGAATGTACATTTCACACATGAGAAATAAAGTATACTTGCATTAGAGATGGAGATCCTACTAGCAACAATGCATCATCAAATGGAATTAACAATGAGCATTAGTGTTAAGATGCCGCAACAATGATCTGCCGATTTTTGAGAATTCTACCATCTGCTAAATGATCAGAAGAGGATTCACTACATCTACTCTTGTATACATCCCGCGCCTCACATACATTTGAAACACTTCTTCTGAGCAAGTCTTCACTTTCTTCTTGAGAAAAACCTTTGGCCTGGAATCCCTGGACTGTTGCCTGTGAAATCCAAGTTAGGGCATGTTTCAATTTCACCTGTACATTCACATAGGAAGAAATAGATGATTCTATTCTGATTTAAAGAAACAAATACCTAATAAAAAGACGCCGTAATTGTTATATCTGCACCAGCTTCAAGGTACTGTTCATGCAGATAGGAATTATATCTTTCAGAAATCAGACCCATTAAAAAATCAAAAATTAGTTGGCCAACTTACTACAAAGGCAAGGGAAGGTAGTGTCATGGTGCTACTGAGAGCACACGATTTAGGTTGATCCTTGATCGACTGAAAAACTGAACAGTACCATTAAGGCAAAGAGATCAAATTTTCCTTTCGGGTGGGGAAAAAATAAAGAAAACAAAATGAAGAATCTTGAAAAGGCTTATGGAACGGATTATATGAGGAGAGGTGAGCAGTCATTTAGCGATTCAGAGAGGGTCAAGAGGTCGGCACCGCCAAGCTCCGTCGCTAGGCTGCTTTCGATCACCGCCACCCGGCCAGATTCACGTGGAAGATCCGAAAGCAAAGAAGTCGGTCCCATTTTACCCAAAAAATGAATTGCAGAAAATCTCCAGCTGGCGGAGCCGAAAAATCCAGCCCTAGTTTTCCTTGATTTTTGATCGTTCGACGTTAAACCTTAAACTCCCAGAAAAATTTACT